TATTTGTTAATAAAGGGTAAACTTCAAAATTATATCATACTAGGCACAATGAGATTAAACAATGCAATTTCTATGCTTAAGTATAACCTTTTTAAGATGATGATTTTAATAATGCTTATAGGATAAGGCTGAATATTTAGAATGGTTAGCTAACTTAAAGAATCCATTCTCTTAACAATCTTCAAAAGAGAACATAGTTTGTAAAGTAATGATTTAAATAAGATACTTACTCCTCATAAAAAAAAAAGAGTGTTTGTTTTTCCTTGCCAATTACCAGCAATTGGATGTAATGAAAAGAAAACAAGGATATGTCTAAAATTCCCACCGTAGTAGATAAAAAAAATCTTTTGAGATTTATTTAATTAATACTTAAATTATATCCTAAGGCACAAATACAAATACAAATTTGATATAAAATATAACAAATAAGTAGAACAGAAGTGATTTTTAAAATTGAGATATTCAATTTATTGGTATGTCAAAGTCAAATCACCTTCAATTCAGAGATTTGAATTATTTCATTGTTTATAACTGTAAATTATGAATTCTTAGGCATTGGAAAGAGAATCTATCTGAACAACATTCAAAATATTTAGAATCAATTTCGAATAAAATTTAATAAACATTTATTGAAATTGGTTTCTTATATGTGAAAACGAGTTTGAAATAATTTATTTTGCAAATTTCTATAATTTTTAAATTAATTATTTATATTAAAGCATCCATAAATGTAAATGGACTATCTATCTTGGGTTCAATCCTATCGAAATTTAGAAATGGCTTGCAATCTAAAATTGTTTCTGTTATACAGAAATGTACTAAACATTTTGCGGTCTATTCTTGATTGAACTTCATTCAATAAATAGATTGATAAGTTTAAAAATATAAAGAACTTACAATCTTTAGAAGATTATTTCCACTTGATCAAATTTAAATTTATACAATTATGAGCTTACAGAATTCAAATTAAAATAAGTGTTATTAATCCATTAATTTTGTAAAAGCAATTATTTGATGTTCCTAATGTAATTATGATTAATGAAAATAAAATCTCTTTTAGACAATCAAAAATGAATCTATAAATGAATTGTTAGTTTTAACATAGCTGATTTCAGATATTATCAGATATCTAACTGTTATTAGAAAACATTCATAATAGAGAATGAAATAAAATATAAGTTATTAGTTAAGGAGATAAAACATGCCTATTGTATAGTTTTTCACATCCTGAATTGAATTTTAGGTTTAAGATGAATTTTTTAGATTTAGTTAAAATTTTATATAATAGATTGAATATCCTAAACTGAATTTAAATTTAATTTATATATCATAACTTGATTTGATTATCCTCTCTTAATCCAACAAAATTTGAACACTGATATCTATATTGATAATGAATAACATCATCTGACAAATTAACTGATGGTTCGCTAGAGAACAATCCACAATCTTCACAAAACTTACACAATTGAAAAACCATCGTATATGAATTGTTCAAATTAAGGCATTTCTATCCTAAAATCCCTGTTCAGGATTTAGTATCCTACGAAACCATCTTATGCATATC